TTCTGCTATTGTTATGATATCAGACTTATAACAATAGAATTTTTGGTGTTACATAAAGCCCTTATAAAAAGGTTCTATGTAGAACCATACACAATACATGCTTTTTTTTTTTAATCTTGGTTTCTCTCAGGTGGTTCTCTCTCAAACTCTTTAGGGAATATTTCCTTTTTAATCTTGGTTCTTCTCAATGTTGCCTCTTCATGCACTCAGTGGTTCTTCCTCATGCTCTTAGGGAGTTTTTTTGCTTCTGCTGCCCTTAGTGATGCTCACTAGGGGGCTACTGTTAAAAATACTATACAAATAAAATTTAACAGAATAGGACGACCCCATTTGTAGTGGTCATCACAACGCTCTTCAGCTTGGTTCCACTGTTCATGCTCCAAGTCGACAAGAAACTCTTCATCTAGCTAAAGATAGAATCAGCCCAGCTATATCTAGAAGTAGCCCACTCTAAGTAAAATACAAATTTTACTCCAGATAAGACAAGCCAAGAAATTTTAGTTATTCAATCAAATAAAATGTCACAGTTTCTACAAGTGTAAAAGTAAACTGACCCTGGATCAGTAAAAGAGCAAAACGTACCAACACCACTTCAGTGCTGTGCAGCTGCAGCCATGCAGGCTGTTAAACGTCTGGCAGCGGTGATTTGTTTGACAGAATGGCAGCGCGTGTATGGCACTAGTTAGAGGGAAGGAGGCAGTTTAGTAACGGCCAATCTCTTCCAGTGACAGGGCACTGAGAGAGAAACAGGCACAGAAACTCACCGCTGCTTTTGATTTGAGTTCATAAAAGAGGGAGACTAGTGGGGGTACAACACTCGCACACAGACAAGGCCACAGAGGGCATTAAACCATTTAGCGTAAAGTACTCTGACATTCCAGCCCCTCCAATACCTTCCGTCTACTGTTTAGACTGTGAAGCAAGAGGCTCTCGTTCTATCGTTCTACAGTGTAAATTTTCATCACTGTGAAATCTCACTGAACTTGGGAAAACATCCATGTACAGGTCAGCTCATTCTGCAGAACAAGCATGGGAACACGGTCACTAAGCCCAAGCTTTAGAATGGAATCCAGTGTGTGTGTGAGAGTGTGAGAGAGAGAGAGAGAGAGAGCGCGTGAGAGAGAAAGAGAGTGAGAGAGTGAGAGAGAGAGAGAAGAAGGAGAGAAAAGTGAGTGAGAGAGAAGGAGAGACAGGTAGAGAGAAAAAGAGAGCGGAAGGGAAGAGAGACAGAGAGAACAGAGAGTGAGAGAGGCAAGAGGCAGAACAAGGGAGAGAAAGAGAGTGCAAGTGTAGAGAGAGGAAGAATAAGAGAGAGAGAGAGAGGGAGAGAGACAGAGAGACAGACAGAGAGAGGAGAAAGTGGAAGAAGGATGGAAAAGCATGGGAGAGATTGAGGGAGAGTGAGAGACAGACAGATAAGACAGAGAGACGAGAAAGAGGGACAGAAAGTAAGAGAGCAACACAGAAACAAAGAGAGGAAGAAAGACAGAAAAAGCAAAGGAAAGAAGGAAGGAGAGAGAAGGAAAATGAGACGGAGAAAGAGAGGGGGAGAAAGAGAATGGAAGGGAGAGTGAGACAGAGTGATGAGGAGAGAGCGAGAAAACGAGACAGAGGGAGATCGAGAGAAAGGGGAGAGAGAGCAAGAGACAGAGCGAGCAAAAGAAAGAATGAGAGAGTGAGACAGGGAGCAAGACAGAATGAGAGAGAGAGAGGAGGGAGAAAGAGAGAGAGATAGAGCACAATTCTGGAGAAAGAGAAAGAGGAAGAATGAGAGAAAAGCAAGAGAGATAGAGGGAGATTGAGAGCAGACAGATAAGAGGGAAGGGGAGAGAGAGAAAATAAGAGAGCAACAGAGAGACAAAGAGAGCGAGAGAGCGCAAGTGTGGAGAGAGGAAGAATGAGAGAAAGAGTAAAGGAAAGAAGGAAGGAGAAAGAGAAGGAGACAGAGAAAGAGTGGAGAGAGAGATTGGAGGGGAAGACAAAGTGAGAGAGATGGAGAGAAGAGAGTGAGACAGAGAGAGAGACAAGAGGGAGAACAAGAGAAGGGAAAGGGGAGAGAGAGCGAGAGACAGAGAGATCAGTGAGAGAGCGAGTGCGAGAGAGTGTACTCGTTCTCTCTCATGAATAAAACTGGCCCTTTACTGTTGCAGGCAGTGCGCTGGGTCTCACTCTCCTGGTGAGTCCGGTACTGAGGCGAACTCTCCTGATGTCTAAAAGGCTGCAGGAATAATATTTGCGTTGGCGCGGCTGAACCCAAAATCGCAAATTATCTGCAACAGCTGTGGCCATTGTTTACATATTACTACATCTCACAGTGGAAAAGCTACGTTCAGATTTCATCTCTCAAACAGGCTGGCAGCAGGATTACAGCACCTAATACACACTGCGTTTCAGAGAGTGTCAGAGACAGCACCGAAAAAGAAATGAGAAACAGATTTACACGTTTACAGCAAAGCGCGGATCGAGAGCTGACGGATGTGCTTTGAACAGCTCCAGATGGAAAAAGAACAAGGTCAAATAAAAAGTCTTCTTCTGTACTGATACCTCTAAATAGACCCTAAACGAGAGTGCAGAAAGGATGTCTTCACCAGGCACTGAGCAGTAACCACCTCTTACATATGATTCATACAATATGACTTTCAGTACTCAAAAAAGGAGGAGAAAAAACATTAAATAACCAAAAACGTAAATAAATAAATGCACTTGTCTGGTTATCCTATTAATCATATATCGATAAAGTTTAAGCATCTTAATTTCATTCTTTTGATTGCCAAGCGATATAGCCCAAATGAACACACAATCAGTACAAATTGCAGAAATAAAAGATAAGAAACACAATACTGTGCAATATGCGGAAACTTACAGAAGCAGTTCCAGTGAAATGGGAATTTTAAGCCGTAAAAAATACCCAAAAATATTAAGATGTTTGAGTTATAGCTAGTTTACAAATCATAAAAGTTACGACACACTAAAAACAAGAATTTGTGTTCTACTAAATATGTGCCACTGTAATCACCAGCACTCAATTAACTTGTACTAAAGCTGCTGACAGGCCTGCCGTGTATTTGTGGTTTTGGCAGTTACTTTTAGCCAAGCGTGTAAGATACAGATACAGCTGATTAATAGCTTTAAACATCATTCACACAGCCTTCATGCTGTTCCTGGCACCTGCCTATTTTCATTACACGTACAGCTGCACAATATCCTTCACTAACACCTCCCATGCTATACGTGGCCCGCAGCAACATATATAACAGTGCATACCCCGCTTCACGGCTGTGTCTCCTTTTTCACTCCAGTGGAGCTAAATAGCTGAAGCGAGCCTTGAATTCTTTAGACTTCCCCCTCCCATGTGTACATCTCTGCATTGACAGGCGGTCCCGAAGCCCTCTATAGCAGAACGCTTGATCAATATACAGACTTTACATGACTGTTATATAGACGTCAACTACTCTACACTAACCCTGCAACTTGTGTAAAACTTTAATAGGTTGCAAAATAAAGGATTATTAAACTAAATTTGAACAATCATTCTGGAAGAAATCCTTGAATGATTTCATGACATTCATATAGAACCACCTAAGAACCTATTTGACAACTTGTATCAACTTGTAGCTCGAGACTGTAAAAAGCAGTTTTGCTGCAAATGACCGGATTTGAACTCAGACTGGAATAAACATGAATGATTCTGTCTCATTCATAACCACTGATCTGGCACTGGAGAACAGAACTGGCATGATCTCCAGTGAACTATTCTTCTGCAGCAACAAGCTTTACTTGTCATGCAATAATACACCATTTATAGACACGTCATCTTCAGATAGATATATTAAATGAATGACAAGAGAAAAGATTATGCCTGGCAGAATAGAGTTTACACACCGCAAGACAAGCAGCTAACTACAGCACAGGCCCTAAGTGAGCAATGACAGAAGGGCAAAAGTGACAGCACCTTTACTGAGGGAGAGGAACATCTGAAGTGAGAGAACCGGGCACGTCACCTAAAAGATATCAGGCAGTGTGGAGTCTCAAATATAAAGAGAAAGAGAAGTAAAGAGAGAAAAAAAAACTTCCGAAATGAGACGGTCAGTGATCAGCTAGACTATTCCAAAGATCAGTCAAAAGACACGAAAGATCAGCTAGAATATTCCAAAAGAACAGCCAAAAGGTACCAGAGATCAGCTAGAATATGCCAGAGATCAGCTAGATTATGACAGAGGTAAACTAGAATATGCAAAAGATCAGCCTGTATATGCCAAAGATCAGCTAAAAGATATTAAAGATCAGCTAGAATATGCCAAAGATCAGCTAAAGCATACCAAAGATCAGCTAGAATATGCCAAAGTTCAGCTGGAATATGCCAAAAATCAGTTTGAATGTGCCAAAGAACAGCTAAAAGATAATCAAAAATCAGATAGAATATGCCAAAGATCAGCTAGAATGTGTCAAAGATCAGCTAAAAAATACCAAAGATCAGCAAGAATACGGCAAAAATCATCTAAAAGATACCAGAGACCAGCTGTAATGTGTCAAAGATCACCTAGGTACCAAGGATTTCAGTCAATATGGGGCTTCAAATTTCCTTCAACAAAATCCAGGAAGGAGAAAGGGAGAAATAAAAGGAGAAAGAGTGAGAGAGGCTCCTGAAGTGACAGTCAGGCGGATGAGCCAGACACCAAAGATAAGCTAAAATATATCAAAGATCAGCCAACTACCGCTGACACCATACAATATGAAGCCACAAATCTTCTTCTTCAAAAAGAGTGAAATAGAGAAATAAAAGAAGCAAGACTGATTAAAAGCGCCTGAACTGAAATACTTAGAATAATCAGCTAGAATTAATCAAAGATGCAAAGCAGCACAGAGTGTCAAATCTCACCTGAGAATAAAACAGTAAAATAAAAGGAGAATGAGAGAAAGAGAAACTCCTAAAGTGAGTCAAATCTCGTGCAACAAAAATAAGGCAGTGAACTAACAGGAGAAAGAGTGAGTGACAGTACCTGAAAGACAGGAGTGCAGTCTTGCGCGCGGGACTCCCTCTCTCCTTTCCTCGTGTTTCTCGTGCCGTTGGGGGGACCACACAGCTCCTGGAGGGACGACCTTCCTCCTCTAATTCTCTCCGCGATGTGATGACACACACACGCTAACCCTGAACCATCTGTTGAAACACGTCCTCCGGCGCTCTCCGCTTAGAGCTGCGTCAAGACAGACTACCAAACCAGCCCAGTCCAATCAGAGAGGGGCAGGGTGGCTCTTCCCCGGCTGGAGGTTGGGACAACGACACAGGACACTGAGGGAGGGGGGTTTAAGCAGCTACTAGCAGAGATGTCTGCAAACTCCGGCCACCGTCGTAACCTGAGATTTAGAGAGAGAGAGAGGGAGAGAGAGAGAGAGAGAGAGAGAGGGAGAGAGAAAAGGGGGGTTGGATGGGAGGGGAGAGAGAGTGTGAGAAGGAGACAGGGAGGGGGGAAGGGGGGTGTGTCTCCTTACCAAGTATGTTAGTGCTCAAAACTCATAGGAATCCCACAGAAACCTGGAGGCCCTCTACCAAAGTCACCAACACACGTTTGGTTTTATGCAGTGAGAGGACATCAGGTTACACATACCGTGCTGTGCAAAAGTTTAAGGCGTCTAAGGAAAATGATTAGTTAAAAAGCTATTTGTCTGGGCTGTAAGCGTTTATTTGCTCAGAAAAACTCAACATCCATAATAATAATAAAATACCTGCAAATAACATTAATACAATAAGCTGTGATTTTACATATATCAATGTTTGTTTAACCATTTCCAAAAGCTCTCTTAACAGCCCAGTACCAACTGTAGTTATTATCCTGGTTTCACTAATCAATACTGCAGAAAATAATTCTTCAATTTAGCTCATATCAACTACTCATCTGCTTACTTAACTACTTAATTTTCCACTTTATTTATGTTTATGCATATCTGTTCTAATGATAGTGTTACAAGAAAAACACACTTAATGCCAAGATGAATTGTTTTAAAAGGCTTAAGGCTGAAATTAAGGCAAATTTTTAGACTTCTGTTTGTTTTTTTTTGTTTTATTTACATTTTTTGTTGTTGTTGTTTTTTGATTGACTCTGAGGTGGATTTGATCTACCAATCAGAGGTTTTTGCACAAACTTGTAAAATCCAGTTCAAATGCACGCTGACTTTAAAGCAGAAGAAGGACATACCAAATACTAAAAATCTCACATATTGTTAAGCTGATAACATAATTTGTAATGAAAAACTGCCTTAAAGGAAAGAAATGCAAAACTGTCTCAGACCTCAGGGCCCCACTGTAAGTAATTATCCATTTGTATTTTATATATATCGCTATTGTCGGAAGAAAACCTTGTATCTCCATTTTTTTGTTGTTTTTCAGTTTTTGAGCTAATTTAAAAATACCTGTCTCCCTTTACATTGTGTGCAAATTTCATGATGAATGAACCAAAAGAAACAGCCCAAAATGACTTGGAAAAAAGTCTGGTTCCAATGACTTATAATCAAAGCTCAGTAGGTTTTTTCCTTCTCCTGTAAAGTTACCATTTTGGAGATACAAAGTTTTCTTCCGACAACAGCGATATGTAAGCACCTGTATAACATTTCTCATATGTTTGATAGATAGTTTTAGTACTTGTGAATACTTAAATACATCCCATATGTATTACATATATCCAAGTACCTATTTGTAATAAGAATGTAACCTTCAGTAAAACTTAACCTCAGTAACCAAAAAGAAATGGTTTTAGCCCTTTCTTTCTTTCAAAAAATAAATAAATAAATAAATAAATAAATAAATAAACCTTAATGAAGTCAGGAGCATTCTGGGCTAGACCTGTTTTCCTTGGTTTTCCAGCAAAGTCAGGACATTTTTGTTCTGAAAGCATGCACACATGCACATTCACAGACCCAGCACTTCAGCCCTAATCCAGTAAAGTCCTTCCCTGACTGTATGAAGCCAGGACATTTACTAATAAAGGACTAAAGGACTAGAATAGCCTCTGGAACACACTGCCATTTGCACCGAGCTGTTACATCTGCACTGCTCACACCTCTGTGTGATAAATCTTCAGACTGCCTCGGCAACATTCCTGCCCTTCACCATCTATCTCTCACACACACACACACACACACACACACACACACACACACACCACATCCTCTCTCTCTCTCTCTCTCTCTCTCTCTCTCTAGGAGATTCAGCCGTTCTACTATCAAGAACTTCAACCTCTACCAAACTCAGCTGTATCTGACAAACTGATTCCATTTGATTACAATATGCTGAAAGTAAGTGCACTGATCGTTATTTTTCTATGGCCCATTCCAACATCTTAACATCTAAATTAGCCGGTAGCTGGTCTTTTGACCAATTTCTATTACCTTTATTTATTTTTAAACCCGAAGCTCACACTACGTGGGCTAAAAGAACAGCTCAAACACACCAGCACATTTTTGTGCTTTCTATCAGCAAATCTGCTAGATAATTCACGTTATTTGCTTTTAATGGCCCAAAAGGTAAATGCAAATCAGTTTTCTATTAATACAACATCAATCAAATAATGTGCTCCACTGACAATAAGAGGCGACTGGATATTTAGCACAATGAGTCACATATCATTATGCTGTGACATTTTGGTACAGGTGCAGCAGCATTCTTATACAGCACGAGTGCTCTCACCTGCCTCACATTATTAACCTCATTAAATCACAGAACAAAAAACGATAATTGGCTGACTGCCGAGCGCATGTTTGAGATTCTGATCTCAGCCAATTCCAGTTGTGAATCCATGGCTGTAAAGTTGGCGGTGATGGCTGTTAGTGGTTAAATATAGCCTGCATGATATGGATAAAATACTAGTATTGTATTGCTACATGTCATGATTACAATAATGCAAAAAGACGAAACTGCATACATGATATGACCCAGGATTTGCCTGCATTGTTTTGACCAAGATAATTTACTTCTGTTGGATTATATGAATGCCTTGATTGATAAACAGCCACAGACACTGATGCAGAACTGTGATTGGTCAGGATGCTCACAGTAAATGGCAAAACAAATGGTTAGTAAGTGATTGGGTCATGTGCTTATTTGCAATATCAGTATATTAAGGGGCTAATATAGCAGTAACGATAAATGCAAATGAGTGTGCAGCCCACTTAATGGTGGTGGGGTAATGTTTTATATCAGCATAGTCGAACAAACTAACCTGAACTGAACTACGAACTTTCCTTACAGGCCTGCAGCTTTCACTCAACAAATTACTAGTATCTCTCATGGACCTAGGTCTACATTTGTCAAGGCTGTGTTTCAGCAAACGGGGGTTATAACCAGCGTCCGTCATTTCCTAATCATCTTTACATTAATGTGTAACATTAGTAACTGTGTACTTGATCTTCTGTCAAAGCCTTGAAAAGCGGCCTGCAGCTCCAATCCACATTCCAGCACGGCCGTGACATCTGAGTAAGTTCATCAGGGGTGAGGGAATCAAAACAAAGGCCTTTAAGTGACCTATTAGCATTCTGTGAAGCGACTTTCACACCTGTTTCTCCGGTATTAGTTTCAGTCGGGGCGGGCCCCCAGCTCTACACACATACAAGCTAATCAATCTTCACAGGCTGCAATCCTCTCACTGCTCGAAATCAAACACGACTCATCAACGGGGAAGGAAACTGAGGCTCTTTAGCACTCCTTTCATCTGCTAATGCTAACAGCTAGTCCTGTGTTTCATCTGTCCGCAGTGTGCCAACGTTCTCGATCTGAGACTTCTTCTGGGCTGATTAAGGGCTAAGCAGGCTGGGAGCCACCAGATGGCAAAACATGACTTAGCAAATGAATTCAAAAGAGGAGGTTGCACATTAAACCCTTAGGCTAACTGTGGAAAGTGCTGGATGATGAAGACCGCATTCTCCCAAACATATATAATACATATATAATACATTTGTCAGACAACTTTTCCCAATTTGAAGTATGGACATTTTTTTTTCATTTAAATGTGGAGCTCTGCTGATTTTGCATAGTCCAATTCTTCTAACCAAAGTCATTCAGTGTGGTTTGAGGTGAAATGGTTCATTGTAGAGAAACTTGCTCAGTCAGATTTTTTGAAGTGGTGGTGATAGGAACCATGAGTTGCAATGTCTTCAACACAAATATAGTTATTTTATTTACTATCCAAACCACAACAAGGTCCAACAGATCTTCTGAGTTTGCTGATGATGGTAAAATAATGGTAAATCTGGCAAAGTAAGTTTTCTTTGGGGACTATGTTGCCTTACAACACCCTGCACGTACCTCTCCATCATGAACGCCTTTAAAAACCCTGACATTTTAGGTCAAAATCTTCTCAAAACTATCATCAAGACATCATGCCATTTCTTTTAAAAGCTTTCCATGAAGTAGCTTTTAGACGCATAAATGCTTCTGACGTCCGGTTCCTCACCACCACTGCAAACAAGTCAGTCTTCATAAGTTTCTTTAAAGTGGCACATTTCACATCAAATACTCTGATTGACTTCGTTCACATCTTAATTTAATTATGCAGATTTTAATCACTGGAATTCCCCATTACCTCTGTAAACTGCAGGCTTATTATTATTCACTTACTCATGTTAGAACATATCAGCTACTGTACATTACTCTGTAACTACTAGTGGTGGGCAATGTGGCAAATACATAAGTTGTAACAAACAAACTGACCAGTAGTGGTACTTTCAAAAACACCATCAAAACTATAATATGGAGCCTAGTCTAAACATCTTTTTAAAAAAACATGCAGTCATTCAGTGTTCAAGTCAATACACATGATATGCTCAGAAAAATTAAGCGACATACTTTAACGTGACAACAATGACATAATGCCATATCTGCCACCACTAATAACTACTATAAAACTAGTCTGTAAGCTGTCATTACAGGAGTGAGAGAAGTGTGGGCCCACAGATGGAGCCTTAAGTAGTTACAAGGGTTGCCTATGAGACAGGACACAAAACACTGTTAACTATGTGGTTTCTTCCTTCGCGGCATCTCTCTGGATTGTGTTTTTTCCGGTAGGCACACTCAGCAGAATGCCATTGGAAAAAAGACGCTTCCACCTTTTTCACCAGAGAGCCCACTTGTTTGCCCGGCTGCGTAACTGCACAGGATATTGAATTAAAGGAGACAAAGAGCATTTTCATCAGGACACGTGAACCTCCTGCTCTTGGTGCAGGAAAGCTCTGGAAGAGGGGAAACAGCACAAGAGCTTGAGGGGAAGAGCTCAAATTAGATTGAGTGAATTCACAAAGGGTAAACCCCACCAA